GCCTTCTTGGCGGGCGCCTTCTTGGCCGCAGGCTTCTCGTCTTCCGAGGACGACGACGAGTCCGAAGACGACTCGGCCTTCTTGGCAGGCGCCGCCTTCTTGACAGGCGACTTCTTGACGGGCGACTTCTTAGCCGGCGCTTCGTCTTCCGAGGACGACGAGTCGGTCGAGGACTCGGACGACGTGGCCTTCTTGGCAGGCGCCGCCTTCTTGGTGTCCAAGTGCGTCTTGTAGAGGGCCACAAGGTCTACGGTGGGCTTGGTCTTCGAAAAGTCCTACAGAGACAGCGTGAGATCGGTGCAATGACGTGGCAGGCGACAGTACCTTGTTGGCCTCAGCCTGGAGGGCCTTCGCCGCCTTCTTCAGGCCAAGCGAGAGCAGCAGCGCATGGACGTGCGGCAAGAGATCGGACGCGGCAGCGGTGTGGCTCATGCTCAAGATCTGGATTTCGTGCAATGATGGCCCTGCGCGTTGGTTGGTCCTGCGGAAAGAGTTTTATACACATGTCATCGTGTTTTAAACACATGCTGTTCCCGCCGTAGAGTGGTCGTCCAAGGCGTCTGGATTCGAGCCCAAAGAGGCAGACAAGCACCGAGTAACCACTAGTACGTCCGCTGGCATGACGAAGACTACCCGTATGCGACACTAAGCTTCTCCAGCATCAATGACAGCGAGGACAAAGATAGCGATGATGACACGCATGCCGTGGCGCCACACGACATGCATTCCACTTTGCACTTTGATTCCAGGTCTTGGATGGCAGACGACGTCAGTTAATAGCAGCTACGGTACACGAATGTATGACTAGAAAGCTAACGTCATAAACACCGGCTGCAAAACTTACTTGACGGGAAGTTGACGGCGTTGAGGCTCGCTTAACGGAGATTTGTTTACCACAAACGCATATCATTTGGATACCATCGCAGTAGAGTTCCAAGTCGTCGCAATATCTATGTGGTGCTCCAAGTAGGGTCTGCCTCGGTATACGCAGGACGCCCTCCTCGCGAACAAAGTGATGGCCACCGAGGATAACTTCCTCGTGCTCTCGACAGCCATGATCGAGATGTTTAAAACTCATTTCCAACAAGGCAAGTAATACCAATAGTGTGTGCATACTCGCTTTGGATTGGGTAAAAAGCGTTTCGAACACGCGGATGATTGGACATGGTCTTTGTGGCATGGATTCCTGGTATGTCCTCAATATAATAAACAGAAGCATATTTGATACAAATACAGAATTGCGAGGTACTCTTTTATTATTAATATCACTGGTAATGAATAGTATTATTATTACATCGTCTTGGGATTGGATAAAAAGGCGGCGCGCAGGACGAATGGCATTCATTTCTCCATTCGCACACGTACCGAGATGGCGACCAAGGTCGAGGAGAGCATCATGGTGCAGGTGGGCGGCCTCCAGAACAAGGCATGGGCGGCCGACACGAGCAAGTTCGGCTACCAGATGCTCATGAAGATGGGCTGGAAGGCCGGCAAGGGCGTGGGTAAGGACCTCCAGGGTACGGCCACGCACGTGACGATCCAAAAGCGCTCCGAGAGTCTCGGCCTCGGTTGCAGCCTCAAGCAGTCTGAAGTCACGGGCTGGAGCTCTACGAGTGGCAACTTTGCCGACGTCCTCTCAAACCTCAAGTCCTACGGCGCCAACCCCGCCGACGCCAAGAAGGCCAAGAAGGCCAAGAAGGAGAAGAAGGCCAAGAAAGAAAAAAGCCGACGACGACCATCAACCGCCGCATCCTCTTTAGCAAGCGCGTGCGCAACAAGAACGCGAGTGGGTACGGTGCCACGGACATGGCGGCGATTCTCGGCGAAGCGTCGACCGCCGTGAGCGCGACCAGCCCGTCGTCCGGCGCCAGCAGTGAGAACGACAACCAAAACGACTCGAGCGACTCGGACGACGAAGAGAAGAAGCGCAAGAAGAAGAAGGCCAAGAAGGAGAAGAAGGCCAAGAAGGCCAAGACCGACGCTGAAGACTAAGCTACACCGCCGTTATCCTATTAATATATCGTACACATGTCATCTGCTGCGCGGCTCGTGTCATCGCAGCGGGAGCTGCATCATTACGGGTGACTTTGCGGCCTCCGACCCAAAGTTGAAACGTGGCAGCCGGAGGTAGCAGGAACGTGGTATTCGACACATCGTTGTGAGCCACATTATATTGCACATTGATATCTTGTTTTTTGAATGCAGATAAGTGTCGTCAGGTATATTAATATACCGTGTCCACGGCAATGCGTTTTTAAACTATTTCGCCCATGTCGACTTGATTTTACTAGCATGCATATTACCTGGTTTAATAAAATGGAGCGGTCTGGCACCGCATCGAAAAATAGCGCGAAACGTATCCGGATCCACGCATGTATCCGGACAGTGATGACCGCCATTGGAAGGTTGGATTCCAAGAGCAACAAGATGGAGCTACCGGTCGCGGACGCCACCCGGCAAGACAAGGCGGCCGAGCACGACGAGCTCTCGGCACTCGATGCGCTCATCCAGGCCGCGCTGGACTACAAGCTCAAGGTACGCGATCCTGCGTCGGTGGCGACCTCGTCACGGCGGCGGCGGCGTAGGGCAATGCGACCAACTACAACTTGATCTTGTCCAAGTTTGAGGCACGTCCGATGCATGTGATCGCATTCGATAGACGTGGCGCTGATAGAGCGTAGAAATCCACGGACGACAAAGAGCGCAGCCAGCTCTTCTTGGCGCTACCGCGGTCCATCTCCAAGCTCACGGCCAACATGGATGCGTTCCACGACCTGGTCCACCAAATCTTTACGTTCGACTTTATGGCGTCGCCGATCGTCATTGAAGCGTACATTCGCCTCCTCACGCACCTCGTGACCGCGCAGACCGCGTTCGTCCAGCCCACCATCAAGGTGCTTGTCCGCAATTTTTTGCGTCCGACGCCGCCGACAATCGCGGCGCCCATGAAGGGCGCGACGCGCATCATGACGACGCTTGGAATCGCGATCCGCCCGGTCATTGCGACGGCGCCTGTCGTTCCTGCCGTCGACGTCCTCGCGCAGTTCGAGGAGCAGGTGGTCGCCCGCTACAAGTACGTGCACGAAGCGTTCGCCAAGGTGCTGGCGCTTGTGCCAGCCTCAATCCACATGGTCTTTGAGTGCATTTGTGGCCTCTTCCCGCACAAGCGTGTCGAGACGCTAAGCCAGCTGGCCTTTCTCAAGAACGTGCTGCATCTCACGACGTACGCCAAGGTCGTCTTCGTTCACACAGACAAAAAGATCTGACGAGTTGGTGGATCGTAGGGCCTCCAAGAGCGTGTGCTCGGGCTCCTCGTCGAGAAGCTTGTGGCGATTGACGTGGAAATCAAGCTCGACAATACGGAAGAAGACGTGTTTACGATGGACGATTTCCTCGATGACGACTGCTGCGTCGACCCAACGTCCGACATGGTGGACGAGAACGCCGACAAGCTCGACAACATGATGCTGACGGTGTTTACGCATTTCGAGCAACTCCTCGCGACCGACCCGACGGTCCACACGGCGCTCTTCACGTTTCTTCTCAAGTCGTTTGACGCGAGCGTCCTCAACACGCACCAGAGCAAGTACCCGCAGTTCCTCCTCTTCTACATTGCAAAGACAGCGCCCGAGCACCAAGAGCTCTTCCTCTCGCAGCTCATTTCGGTCTCGCTCGACACGAAAATTCCACCCGTGACGCGCCACAGCTGCGCGTCGTATCTCGCGAGTTATGTTGCGCGCGCCAAGTACCTTCCGACGACGGCCATCAAGCACACGCTCTTCCACCTCTTGCGCTGGATCCATGGCCAAGTCGACCTCCTCGACGGCCTCGCCCCGGACGCGATCGCCTCCGCGGCCTGCGACCCGCTCACGACGGCCGTGATCCAGACTGCGTGCTACATTGTGTGCTTTCGCGGCTTGGAGCTCTGCGGCTCCGAGGCAGGGTACGGCTTTGTGCGGTCGCTGGGCTGGCAGCGCATTTTGACGTGCCCGCTCATGCCTTTCCGACAGCCGGTCTTCCAGCCGTCGGTCGCCAACGAGTTTGTCAACGTGGCCGAGCTCTTGCTGCTCATTCCGGACGAAAGCGTCGAGCAACTGCTGCTGTGGATCTCGACGTCGACGGCCTCCAAGTCATCGTCGCATGGCATGAACCTCGAGCGCTCCATTGTGGAGAAGGACACGTCCAAGCGCGCGTGCTTCTTCCCGTACGACCCGTACTTGCTGCGCCGGTCGTTTCGGTTCATTGGGCCGCTGTACCTCTTCTGGAAGCACGCCGATCCGTCCTGGTCGGGCAACTCGGAAGCGTTCCACCTCGTGCAGAGCTACATGCTTGCGTACGACCACGACGGTGCCTCCGAGGACGACGACGACGGTGGCGACGACGATGCGAGCATGGCGGGCAGCTTTGTGCAGTCGAGCGTCAGCAGCGCGAGCTTCATGCACGGCGGCAGCTTCACGGGCAGCGAAGCCGACATGGACTTTTACGCGCGGGATCACTTGGCGCGCTCCATGAGCATTGGCGACGAGCCGCTTGCCGAAGTGACGACGACAACGACGACGTTCCGACTCGACTACCACGACGAAGAAGAGTTTGGGTTTTAATACGGCGCAAATCATCATCGTCGTGTCGTGTTAAGAAGACGATTACTCCTTGGGCGCGGGCTTGCCTTCGGTCGAGGACTACAGACGAGCATGCTGCGGTTGCTGCTTGTCATGGCATTCGCGTACCTGTTCCATGAGCTCGCCAATGGACTTTTCCAAGTCGTCGATCCGGCTGCCCATCTCGTCGAGTACAAAGAGAGTGGTCAAGGCAACATGCGAGAGAGATAAGGAGGAGAGGAGCATGCAGGTGGCAGAAAAGGATATTTCTTCCGATGATGGCCTCTGACATTTGTGCGAACCGCGATTGCTACGCCAGCGTCAGCCCATATCGAGGCGTGAGGCGCCTACCATCTGCTCCAGGAGGCTCTGCACGAAGACCGTCAGCTCCTGCGAGTCCTGGGCGCCGCCGGCCGAGAGGTCGTGTTCGTTCTGCTTGTTCTACACGGGCAGAGGTGAGCGCGCTGGTCACGAGTCGGCGGCGGACCATGGCGTCGCGTCGGTGGTTCCGGCCCTCGAAGCAATTGCGAAATGCGTTTTTTTAGAAACCTTGGTAAAATGCGCTTCGATATAGTGTGACCCACACCATTTCAGTCGCGCCACCTTGAAGGCAGTCGATGGCGCTCCCCAGTCTCTCGACGTCGGTATCCAACGGTAGAAGACCTTGCAGCATAATGTGAGTGCATGGCATGCACGGAGAGGGACGACCTGAAAAGGCTCTTTGACCCACAGAATTCATGATGCACACTATTTTATGGTGCGACTCGAAGGTGGCGGCAGAGCCCGATTAAGTACGCTCCAGGAGGCTAAAGGCAAAATAGCATTGACTGGTAGGCATTCACACTAATTATAAATTGTTGTAGCCTGCCGATGCGTAAATGGTGTGATCTTCAGGAGGAACATGAAATAGTATGTGACCAGTGTTGCGATTCCCGTGCGAAGGCGAAGGTGCGATGAGCGTCCGTGCGTTTGACTGGCAGGCAGAGTTCGCCAAGGACGAGCGCGTTACCGCGATGGATCAGTCGTGCTTGACCATCCGTCGTTGGCTCAAGCGGGCCAAGCGCGAAGGCAATGCGTCATCACGTGATACGGCAACGTCCGCAACGGTGCCTTCTGCGCCTGGATCAAACCCGGCGCTGGCCGAGGCCGCAGACCAATCTATCGATGTGGTACCATTGCTTGCTATACTGCAACAGCGAGCTTGACGCTTGACTAGAAATTGGCTGCCGCGCCGTCTGTTGAACCCGCGGCACTTGCTCCCATCGACAGCGCGAACCAGCAGATCGACATTGACATGGGCCTCTCGGACGGCATGGCATCGACCTGTCATCTGCGCGAGTCGCAAGCTGGCGATCAAGATGTGGACATGGAAGAAGGCGAGGTGTTGACGGAAGGCTCACCTGCCACGCCTTCTTCCAACACAGTGCCAGAGTCACCGTCTTTCGAGCCGTTGGCATGCGTCTCGGAAACTGCCAGCGCAAGCCAGCACAAGGTCAGCGCCGTTACTTCGGCGACCACACCAACGAATGTCGCAAGCCCTTCTCCAGTCGTTGAAACGGATCTGCCTCGCCCGGCGACACCAGGCCCCACCTCCAGCATCGCTGCACCGTGCTCCTCCATGTCCACAACAGAGCCATCGACGCACGTCGCTGACGCCCAACAAGGCCGCACCGAGGGATCCGACGCAGAAGGCAGCAAGGTGCGTTGCCTGCCGTGGGCTTCTCATCACACGCCATGCGCGTAGAACGACTGCCCCCTCTGCAAGGAGGACCGCGACGACAGTGATAGCCTGCTCTGCGACACTTGCGACCAAGGTGCAACATCGCCTTGGTCGTCCTCGCATCGTAAGCTCTTTTTTCGTAGTGTACCACACGTATTGCGTCGGGCTCTACGCTGTGCCCAAGGACAATTGGTTCTGCCCTGTGTGTGCGCCAGCGCACGAAACTCCGAGCTCACGTTGCGCCCCCGAGCAGGTGCCGCATCCCTGCTGTCCAAATACCAGACCGACAACTCTGTGCATAGTTGTTCAAGGAGCTTCAAGAGCTGAACGGGATGCTCGTTCACGCGTGCAGCTGCGATGCGGCGGCGTGCACCGATGCAACGTTCAGCGCGACGTGCAAGCCGATGAAGCTGGCGCTCCAATGCATGAGTTGGCTCTCGTTCAACGCCGATATCCGACCCACGAGCTTCATCGAGCACTTGGCAAAACTCTTGGCCTTTCACGCCGCGCACTGCGCGGTCGGCGACACCTGCCTCGTTCCGCTTTGCCACACGCTTCGTCTGCAAGGCGCCTAATTGTTTTTCTTAAATGATCGTATTTTTGTGATGATTTGATTTACCGCAAGGATCGACGATCTCACATTGCAGTACGTGGCCGTCCCACGATCCATTGTCCATGGGCCACGGCTTTGTCAGGGTCCCATGCATCCGAGCGTCAGCCACGCATGCCGTCGCTGCCAACCACCATCGCATTACAGCTCTGGAACGCTCGCCGACGCGCTCGGTCTCGGCCAGCATCGTCGGGTAGCCCTTCCGGATAATTTGCGCGAGAGCCGGATACCTGCGGGTTGACACAAGACGGCGATGCCAAACGAGTACGAAGCTAAGCGCCTGGCGCGGATCGCCGAGAACAAGGCAATGCTCGCGTCGCTGGGCATTGACAAGCAGATCATCGAGAAGGCCGCGCCCAAGCAGCGACCAGCGGCGAAGCAACTCAGCGCACGAGGCCCTGTTCGGCGCTCGAGCCGCGTCCAGGAATTGCATCCTGGCAGCATTGTGGTATCCTACTCGCCTCAATACGATTGCGATCCTATGTAACGTTGATCAAGGCTGTGTGGGACGCCAAGCCCGTCTTGATGCGCGATGTGGTCATGAAGCTCGGGCTCCACGACACGCCGGACCTCCTCCGCGCCTGTCTCGGGAAGGAGCTCGTCCCGGGCGGGAAGCTCCCGGTCGTCAATGCGCTCAAGGCGGCCAACCCAGGGGGCGTCTACGAGCAAACGAGCCTTCTCTGCACGAACGCGACCGTCCTCTTTGCATGCGTCAGCGCCATAAATGAGTATGGGATTGAAGAACTGCGTACTGTGCTCCTCGCGCATGGGCTCATGGACGACGATAGACTCGGAGCCTTTTCCAAGAGCGCGACGACCAAAGACATCTCCTTAGCGTGGAAGACAACGGTACGACGACGCCGATAACACACTATGCACATGATGTGGTCGAGGTTCTAGAACGCCAAGCGGTACGAGCAATTGAACCGCCGGCTCTACAGAGCCGCCCGCGTGAGCGCGGCAACGAGCAACGGCAAGCCGCTGCACCTCTTTGTGTGTTTTGGCGCCACGAACGCCCGAGTCGTGTACGCTGGCCGCCTCGCACTCGCGCAAAGCCCCGCCAAGACGGAGAAGAAGAAGAAGATGTTTTTCTTTCAGCTCGTCGACGGCAAGAAACTTTCCAAAGGCGTGCTCAGCGCGATGCTCCAGCGCTAACCTACGTAGCGACCAGCGACCCCGTGTTGGCGCCAACGTCAATTGATGTCGTTGCTTGTGTCGCCGTCACCTGGAGGGACATGCCTCGCGCCTAAAACAGCTCTACCAAATACTACTGCGACTCGGACGACGTCAGGCTACGCGATGCATTGTACTTGCACCAGCGTAGCGTATGGTGCTTTCTTTGCATGCGGTGGTGGGCCGACGCGGGATCGCATCCTGTCGTCGTGGCAAGTCTACCGCGCAGCATCTTCAACAAGAGCTGCGTGCAATGTCGGTCCATCGATCGACCAATGCCTCAACCTATACCAAGAGTGGTTTTGGAAAAATGTGATTTTTTGAAACTCGCGGCTCGAGACGTCCCGGGTTTCGGAAGTGAAGTTTCTGCCTCTAGACGGACGCGATCTGTTGAGCGGCTACGTTCGTCCCACCCGCTACCCCAATGGCGAGCGGCCAATCACATCGCCCTTATGGCTACGCCTGGACAGTGGCTACCAAGCGCGCGCTGCTATCGCTGCAAAAACAAGTAATTCCAAGGGAGCTCAAGGTTAGAGCCATAAAACCTTCCGTCCTTCGCGAGCAAAAGGCCAAGTCCCCCGCGCCCAAGGGAATGTACAACTCTGTTCATCCCCTCGCCTCTTCCCGGGCGACAATTTTTCCGGTTATCGACCGGATGCAAGTCGTGCTAACTGGTTGTCCTGCCGTGGTGCAATTGTAGTTTGATCTTCAACCCAAAGCATGCTGAGCGAGTACGAAGCATTGCGCGAGGCTCGGATCGCCGAGAACAAAGCGATGTTAGCGTCGCTGGGGATTGCCAAGATGAGCGAGGCGCCGATCGACCGCCCGCGGAAGCGAGCTGCTACCGACAAGCCAACGCCGTTGGCCCACCAGTATCGGCTCGTGGCCCAGCGCCAGTCCAAGGCACAAACCACCACCGCCAAGAAGCGCCAGCGAGCCACGTTGGAGCTCCAGAGCTGGAATGCGTTGCATCTGCGCGATAGATTCCTCGGAAAAGAGCTCGGCCGAGGCGCAACCGTCGACGGCGTCAAGGACCTCCTCAAGCAAGCCAACGCCGGTGCGCTCGAGTCGACGAGCAGCCTGGTCTTCCCCGACGCCACGGCGCTCTTTGCCTCGGTCGACGACGACGCGCCGTACGAGATCCTACTTCGCATGCGATGACGAGGCGACGTTGCTGTTTAGACATGGCGTCTTCCGGACCTTCAATGGAGCCAAGGACTTCTCGCTGTCGTGGACAACGACGGTGCGATGCGGCCAGCAAAGGCGCCTTCATGGACATATCTCTGTAGAACGCGGCGGCGTTGAACCACCGCCTGAGCAGCACAGTGCGGGCCGGCAGCCGAGACGAAGGCGTCCTGCCGTTGCACCTCTTTGTGTCCTTGGAGACCGATCATGTGGTGTATGCTGGCCGCCTCGCACTGCTCACGCGGCCGGGCAAGATGGAAGCCAACGGCACGCGAGCATTCATTTTCCAGCTCGTCGATGAGAAGCAGCTCCCGGACGCCACGCGCAGCACCTTGCTCGAGGCGTGTCCGATCGCCGACAGCAAGGATCTCTGGCGCGTCTCCCGAGCGGTGCAATAAACGTCATACCATTTATATCGAAGTGCTGAATGCAACGATCATATATTGCGAGAAAGCCCAGTGGTCATCCAGATGAATTTGATACTCGGTCTGGTACAGGTACAGTTCTGGTACCCGACCACAGTGTGGTCAGACCGCTCGACCACATTTATGGTTGTAGAGGTCCTAGACGAGGCCCAGAACGCGGCTCGTGGTGCAGAATCTGCTTCTACATTAGCATCGTGGTGATCGAAATGCGTCGCAAACTTCAAGCAGAGCGATAGCAGCGCGCTCGGCCGCCGGAAGTCGCGCTCGGATTGGCTCATGCCCAAGCATTTTGGCCAATGGCATCGCGCGAGATCTTTTAAGGATTCGTTTTCATTTTGCCGATCGATGGACGTAAGCTTTGCGGTCGAGGCTGGGTCGGTCGAGGTCGCGACGATCCCGCGCAAGGTGTGGCGCCAGCCGCCGCCGTCCGCGCGGGCGCCTGCGATCCCCGACTTCTCGCAGCCGTGGCGGGTGCTCCGCGCGAAGAAGGCGTCCGAGCGCGGAACGCTTCGGGTCGACACGGAGGCAAGCGCGCCCGACGCGTCGAAAGACCTGCTGCACTGGTACGAGCCCAACTTTGCGCCGAGCGCGCCGCTCTTCTCGTCCGAGATGCACGAGCCAGCGTGCTTTCGCGACGCGACGGCCATCGACGGCGCGACGGCGTTCAAGGTTACGTGCAACCTCGCCTTCGGTCTGGGCAATGTACGCCGGTACTTTCTGTCGCGCTGGCTTAGGCATTCGTTAGGTGGAGCCCATCTCGTGCCGCTTGACGCTCTTCGACGTGAGCCTCGGCTGCCGCGTCAGCGAGGACTATTGCTTTGACGCGAATGCGCCGCCGACGCTCAATGTATTACTGGACGAGCTTGCAACGAGCGCTTATGGCTGCAACTAGATGGCACTGGGCAACGTTCGCAGCGCTCTCTTCTACGCCATGCCCAATCAGTACACGCAAAATCTCTACCTGGTGCTACGCGTAAGAGGGTCCTTTGCCGTACCTCGGTGTGTTTCAAGCAATAGCTTAGGCGTCCAAGGTGCTGCAGGGCGATGGCGAGATCGCGACAGCGCCCTACTGCCAGCCCGAAAAGTTTGCGTGCGACGCTGAGCAGTCCAAGCTAATCGAGAAAGCTGCCGAAGCGAGTGCCCGGTTGGGCAAAGTCCATCAAGTACACCCCATCGTGCATGCGAGTGCTTGCTTGTTCAAAAGGCGACCTTGTAGAGCTTGGCGTGGGGCGCGATTTCGGTCTCGGAAGGGACGCGCCACATGGTTTTGTACCGGCAAAAGGCCAGCATGAGCGACGACCAACGCCTTGCCGTGCTCGTCGACGCGTCCAAGGGAACGTACAAGTGCGTCTAGTACCTACCAACACTGGCCTGTTTCACAGGCGAACCTATGTAGGGAAAAAATCGTTGCCAGCACCTGCGAGCTCGACATCGAGCGGGTGGACGACGTCACGGTCCGCGCGGCGAAGAAGCGGTCGATGGACACCAAGCCAGCACTCGGCGCGTCGTCGCTTTTGACCTCCTCCCACCCATGCATGCAGACGAGCCCAAGAAGGACGGCTGCGACCACTGGTGCCGCGAAGTCCAGCCGTTCTGCCCACCGTCCGCGGCCAGTGTGCTCGGACTCACGTGCAGCGGCCCGATCGCAGTGTCGTACATGCACGTGTTGTTCTTGTACCCGCTCAGCATCGAGCGCTTCCAGGTAGCCTCAACACGCTCTCTTCCTCCTCACCAAGTTGGTGCGAAGAGCCAAGCGGAGGATAGTATCATGGGATGGCACTCACACCCTGGTGTAGCACCGCAATGTCCTTATCAAGGTACAGCTCATCGACCAAGCTGCGAACGAGACGCCGCTGCCCGTTTTTTACAATAGCCACGCGCTGTCCTTGTCCACCGAGGCGCGGTGCCACGTCTCGTACCATGCGAAGACGCCGTCGTTTGAAGATGAAATCAAGCTCGCGTTGCCAGCCGCGTTGACGCCATCCCACAGCCTTCGCTTCTCGTTCTATCAAGTGCACTGCAAGAAGATGCCGCCGGGAAAGGCGAGCATGGACCTCTTTGGGCTCGCGCACTTGCCGCTGCTCGACAAGGACGGCGTGGTGCTGGACGACATGCCGCATTCGCTCACCGTGCAAAGCGTGGATGGGGACGGAAAGGGCATGGTGTTTCACTGCGCCTCGCGTCTTCTCTCGTCGTTGTACAGCCCGCACAAGGCCATTCACGCCTGCTTGGCTCCGATGAGCCCCATTCCTTCGGTAGCGGTAAGCGGCGACATGTCTCAGTGTATCAGTGTATCAACGTGGCTTTTGTGTAGGCACTCGTTGCGCGCGTGGAAGGACTGCGCACCGCGTCGGACGCGGCGGTGCGCTACCATGCGCTGCGGCTGTCGAGGTGCATGACGCACTTGCTGCGCCTCGAGGCGCCGGACGTGCGCCAAGTTGCGTTCTACGGCCTCCTCTCTCTTCTGGACAAGTGCGGGTTCACGCCGTATCGCAAGGTTACGGCGACGTCACCGACAAGCGTGCCCAACAATGCCCCCAGTTCCGCCGAGTCGAGTCTCGTGTGGCAGTTCATTGATGTGGTCTTTGACGATGTCAGCCAAGAGCATGCGCCCGTCTACCTCTCGATCGTTGCCGTGTGGGGCGTTGCAATGCAGCGAGGCAAATGCGATGACACGATGCTTCTCGAGTCGCGCAAACTCGCGCTCACGCACGCCAATGTGCTCTTACACCTCGTGCTCAAGTCCATGGCGCTGCAGTGGTCGAGTCAGCGCCTGCCGCAGACACTAGCGCCAGCGCACGAAGAGGCCCTCGCGACCCTTTTGCACACCCTCTTGAACGGCGTGTTGGAACCCGACGACGGGTTTCTGCTCCGGAAGGAGCTGCTGCAGAGCCTCACGCGCTTTGCGCTGCAGCTCTTTTCATCGTACAAAGCGCCGTACCGGCCTTATGGCTGCAGGCGGCGATTGCCGCCATGGTGTCCGTCAAGGACTCGGCGATGCTGACGCACATGACGTTTCCGTTCCTGCGCATGCTGGTCGAGTGCGAGCACTTCGTCGCGATCAACACCACGTCCGGCCATCGATTGGCACGCGATTGGCTCGCGCAGCTCCTCTTTACGTCGCTCTTACGGATCCTGGACGAGCAGAAAGAAGACAAGATCAAGTCGCACGCCGTCGGCATCTTTCGCCGCCTCTTTGTCGCCCAAGCCCACATGGCGCCGACGGCCTCGGAGCGCATTGCGCTCATGTACCTGCCGGTGCTTCCGTATCTCTTGGCGCTCACGGCGCCCGGCAAACTCCTCAGTCTCCGCGACGTCGACGCCGACGACGAGAGCACGACAAGCGATGTGCTCAAGCGAGAAGTTCTCGTCTGCCTCGCCTACTGTCTCGGCCATCTGGCCGAGGCCGATCGCAAGTGGTGCGTACCAGATCATGTGGTCCAAATGCCACACCACAAGTCTCCGATTGCAAATGGAGTAGGTTCTGGAAGCCGCGCGGACCAACCGACACGCCGTCGCCAACGGTGGCGTCCGAGAAAGCGCGCAAGCCGCAACACCAAGTAGGACACGATCGCGATTCGTGGGATATGATTCCTGATGGTATCTATGATGCAGCGCAAGGTCGGGACTCTCATGCGCGGTCGAATGGACGGGTTTACGACGCCGACCGAGTACGATGACGCGCTGGAAGCCCACGTGACGTCGGGCATGACCGCGCTGCGGCAGCTCATCGAGTGTTTCTTGGCCGACGGCGTTCCGTGGCAGCAGATCTTGTCGCCCGAGACGCTCGAACACGGCACACGCATGTCCCTTTTGGACATTGAGGTCTCGATGAAGAGCCGCCATACGAACGCGCGACTGCTCCAGAGTCGCCGAAGCGACGCGAAGGAAGTGCGCGCCCCCGGCGCGACGCACCGGTCGCTGCCGCGCAACTGGGGCAAAAACTACATGGCGCAGCGCAAGGGCAGCATGGACCCCAAGGCTAAAGAGGAAGGCGAGGCGCCTGCGAGCGACTTTGATGCGTGCGCCAAATACCTCAGCGAAGCGCTCGTCGAGACGGTCCTCACAACGTCCCAAGCCATGATCCTCGAGTTTGCAGCGATCCTCGACATCCCCGGCCGCGCGCTGCGACCGAATGGGACCTCGGAGCTGTCGGTGACATCGCAGGCCATGCGTCTCCTCGAGGCCGTCGTCGACCTCTGGTACCTTTTGCTCAGTCGCATTGGCCACGTGCACTTTGAGAACGATCTGCTTGCGCAAGTGCTCTTGTACATTATCGAGTTTCTCCAGCGTTTCCAGCGGTCTCTCTTTGCCGAGTCCGCCCGGCGTCTCATGATCACCGAAGCGTGGTGCGACCGGGTCTATCACCTCGCAACCACGTCGTCCGAGGCGATCGCCGTGCTCGCGGCCTCGCTCCTTTGCGAACTCTGCCGCACGAGCTTTGACCAAGTCGGGTCATTCATGCCTGTCAAGCACGCTCTTGTATCGGTCGTCGCCAAGCAGCTCCACCACCTCCCGGCGCTACGCACCGCCATCGAGCGTCTTCAAGCCACCAAGTGCGGCGACGGCATCTTCCGCGTCCATTTCCACGCCTTTCTGCACCTCCTGTTGCGGCTGCACGACGCATGGGCCGGACTGCACGAGAGCATGAAGGGCACTTCGATCGGGTCGCCCGAAGGTCTCGAAGACGCGGTCAGTACGCTCTTGGAGGACATGTCGCCGGACTGGCTGCCCGACGTCCACCGCCAACTCTTGGAAGCGCTCGCGCAGTATCACTTTGCGCGGGGAGAGTACGCCGAGGCGAGTCACTGCCACTTGATGCTTGTCGCGCACGAGCGGCCGCTGCCGTCGCTAGCGTTCTGCCTCGAGCACTGGAAGGCGGCGAAAGACTTGGCCGAGAAAGCCAACTTGCCCGAGATGGCCCTCTCGATCGCCGAGACGATGCTCCGCCGGCTGCAGAGCGATCAGTGCTACGACGAGATGGGCCACGTGCTGCAGAGCATGCTGCATATCGTCGCGCAGCTTTCGACGCCCGCGGACGCGACCCCGGTCGCGCGCTTCTTTGTCGTGACGCTCCTCGACGACGGCGCGGTGCTGGCCGAGTACATTTGCAAGCGGTCGGCGTTCTGCCACATTAGCGACGTCGTGGCCGGGCTCGAAGCCGCGCTGTCGTACGAGCTGCAGCGCAAAGTGACATCGGTTGCCCTCAAAACCGACGCGGACCGACGACTCCTTCTCAAGGTGACGCCGGTGGACGCGAGTGCCAGCAACACACGCACCGAGTTCGTCCTCAACACGCCTTTTACGCGCAACGCCAACCAGGCAGCGTACGACAAGAACCAGTTTGTGCGACGGACCATCCTGCGCGTCGGCGAGCCGTTTCCGTGGCTCTCGACGCGGCAGCGCGTCATCGCCAAGCACGAGGTCGTGCGCTGCCCGATCGAGAACGCAGCCGACGACATTTTGCGCCGGACAACCGCCCTCGACCGTGTGCTCGAGCAGACGAGCCGCGGGCGGCCCGTCGACGTCAAGGCGCTCACGCATTTGCTCAAGGGCAGCATCAACACCGAGGTCAACGGCGGCGCGCCCGAGGTCATTGCGCAGTTCTTATCGGCGAGTGCGCACGGAACGCTGCTCAACGGCCAGGGCCACGTCATGGATGGCGCCGAGGAAAAGAGGCACATGGCCGACCTGCGCCTGGCGCTCCTGACGTTCTTGCGTGCTGCGTTGCAAGTGCTGTCGATCTCCCGCGACGCGTTTCGGCGTGCGGCCGAGCCGGATGCAGACGTCTTGGCGCTCGCACCGCTCCAGAGCGAGTTTGAGAAGGGCTTTGTGGCCATTGTCGAGTGCTTGGCGGCGACGTACTCGGCGCCGAGTGACGAAATCGTCTCGCTGCAGCAAGCCATGGCGTACAAACTCGGGCACGGCCCGCGTCCGAGCCAGGTCGTCTTGTCCTGATAAGAATCTGTCTTAAGGCGTTGGGAGCACCACATACTACATGTCTATTTGCCGTTAAGGAGCATTTCCTTGGCTTCGTTGATCTTGGTCGAGAGGAACGTCGAGCCGCCCGTGTCCGGGTGGTTGGAGATGAGGAGCTTGCGGTGGGCGTTGCGGATGCGGTCCGGGCTCGCGTTCTCGCGCACGCCAAGGATCAACGCAGCCTCGCGGCGCGTCATCTTGTCCTCGAACGGGCCATCGTAAAAGTTGCGGTACGACATGTTAAAGTTGAAGAAGCTGCCGCGCTCGGACGCCGCAGCCTTACCTTCGTTCTTGCCCGCCGGCGCTTCGGTCGCAGCTGCGGCCTTGTTCGCCTTGTATTCTTGGTACGACTGCAGGAGGTACTTGGCGCTCAGCGCCGCGACAGCCACGCCCGCACCGCCGACGATCGCGAGCGAGTCCTGCTTGCGCGTCGCGTGGAGGTAGCGCGCCTGCTGGGGCACGAGCTGGATCGGCGCCAGCGAGCGGGGAAGCGCCGACGACCGGCGGAGGACGCGGGAGACCGAGCGGACCATCGACATCGTGACCGAAGCAAAATGGAACTCTCCAGATGCCATCAACCAAATCGTCGCTTTTAATTGGACAAAACGCAACCAATTGATAGCCAATCCACACGCCGTATCAAAAACCGGATAGTGTTCCGCTCTATCCGTATACGCGTGTTGAAGTCGAGGTAAATTCGGCAACGTGGCGGGATGATGCCGAATTTAGGCGCAGATTTGGATTGCCATGTATGGCACGTACCCCTCGACAGCGGCGCCACCGCAGCCCGCCTTCCGCCACGGCTACAACCCGAGCCGGTACACCAACACAAGCGTACTCGGCGACGCCCACGAGAGCTGGACCTCGTACCTCTTGACGGCGCCGTTCCGGTTCCTCACCCTCAAGGCCGTGGTGTTTCACGTCGCGAACGCTGCGTTCAGCCTCGTTGCCTTTGCGCTCGTGTGGGGCAGCCTCGTGCTTGGCTTGTCGCTGATTCCAGTCTGCTGCATCGGCCTCCTCCTCCTGCGTGGCCTCTGCTACGTCGTGCACGCGCTCGCCAAGGTCGACGTGCACCTCTACAACTGCATCACGCCGTGCCACGAGCACATTTACGTCAACTTTGAGTTTCCAGAGCGCGTCCACACGGAAGGCCTCCGCGTATCGCCGTCGCTCGCCGAGTTTTCGCGCGAATCGTTGCTCGCGATCTTGTACTTCGCCGTCGTCAAGGTGCCCTTGGCGCTCGTCTCGAGCATTTCAAGCCTCTCGATCCTCGCTGTCTCGATCGAGCTCCTCGCGTCCGTCGTCTCGCGGCACCACGTGTGCGTCTTGAGCGTCGACGGCCAATGCCCGCTGGGCCACGGCGACGCGGCGTGGCGTTTCCTTGTCGCTGGCGCCGTCACGCTCTACGTGGCGGCCTACCTCTTGCACCTCACGGCGCACCTTCTCTGCAAAGCGACCAAGTTCTTTTGCTGCGAGTACTTTGCCACCTACAGCTATGTGTACGCATCGACGCTGCCTCGCTACCAAGTCTAACTCGTAGTGTACAACATTATGCATATACTACAGTGAATGCTTAGACGACTTGTCCGTGTCCAAAGCCCATGAGTTGCAGCGGCGTGTGGTACGCAGTTGCCATGCAATAGCCGTACACGAACCGGTACAAGTCGAGGTAGTCGCAGCAGAGCCGCTGCACGCCACGGCGATATGCGCGAGCAAGGACATGGCTGAGCACGATGCTCGAGTAGAGACACACGGTGCCAAGAAGACAGCGCGGCAGGCTTGGATCTTGCGACCACGCAACGCCGCACCCATGCGCCAGCAGAAGAAGCGACCCGAGGACGAAGACGACCGCGACGCCGCTGGTGGCAGCTGCGAGCACGATCTTGGCGCTGGCCAAGTATAGCAGCGTCTGGAGTACGCGCGCGTGGCTTCTCGTGTCCGAGTACGCAAACGAGACGTAAATGTGCTCTCCGCCGGGCGAGATCGAATTGTACAAGTGCACGTCCATGGAGGCCAGCTGCAGCACGAGGCAGAGGGCGATGCGCGCGACAAGCGGCCCGAGGCAGCGCCAAAGCGGCAAAAGAAGCACGCCGAGAAGCAGGAGAAGCCACGCGACGATCGCCATGACCAGGGTCGCCAGAACGTGGAGGACGTGGAAGACAACGTTCTGGCGAGTGCTAATCCATTGCGCTGGAAGCGCGCAGAGCCGACGCCACGTCGACGGCGTCCGCGACCGCGGCGGGTACAGCACTCTGTGGTCGGCGTATCGGTTCGGGTCGTACGCGCTCTGGACAAACGCGGGGCGTGTGGTCGCGCCGTAGCTCTCTGCCATTGCGAAATCCGAGATTGGCATCAATCATCAAATTTTGAGCCTATCCGGAAGGGTCCGGCACCGCTGATCGCACGCAACCTCCAAGTGTCGCAAGGAACTCGCGACTCCATTGTTGCAGATATTGTCTTCTTGTCAACACCCGAGAGCTACCACGCCATGGCGCGCTGCCATTATGAGAGGCAAAAGGTCAAGCGGGCCGGGTCACCTTTTCCGCAGCCAAGTTGATTTGCACAAACTGCACCCCAACGAGTCGAGGACATCTGGTGATCATGATCATGGGGCTACTATTATAGTGCGTCGTTGACGTGAGGTCCATACACCACGAAGTAGAAAAGAACGTGCTTGACGCTGTCGGGGAGAGCGAGGCGTTGGCGACGTAAAGGCCTTTGAGGTCTCGTGTTCCGCCCTCTTTCTTTGGGCCACAACCCCCTCGGACGGCGACGCGCTCATGTGGCACGAGCCCATCGGGTGCACGTCGAAGAGACCGATACGGTCACGGTTCTGTGCCAACCGCGTTTGGGTAGTCGCGCACTCGATCGGGTTGGCCGAGTCGTCGGGTGTGCAGTGGCGGCTGCGATGAGCTGCACGTCGTGCTGTGCGATGTGGAGCACCACCGCGCCTTATGACAGCATGCTCTTGACCGACGTCGCGAGACCCTCTTCCAGCGCAAACGCGTCCTTGGTCTTTAGCGACACGTAAAAGTACGAGGGCGTCCCACACAGTCCGGCGACGCGTCGATTCTTGGCGTGATGATATGGTGTTGTCAGCGGTAGCTTACTAGTCGCATCCGTGGCGACTTTAGTTCCCGAACGAGGAGTGCAAAGATCGTTGAGAGGCGTGAGTACCGGCGTGGCAGTCGACGGTGTTGCGCCACGGCAGCATCGCTGCGATATAGCCCGGCAAATCCACGGGCACTTCCAGCCGCGCCTGTATCTACACGAGCTCAGACACCCTGTCCTTTGACGTGAGTCGATGCGAACTCATTGCCGTTCGAGTGTTCACGGTGACGAGCGCTGTGCTCACCGATGGCATGGTGACTGCCTGGATGGAATGAGCCAAGTCGTCACGACAACGGGGTGGATGAGGAGAGGCTCGTGTTGGGGTTTTCCTGCTCTCTCGTCCGCTTCAACTTGAATGTGCCAGATGCGTTTCAAGCCAAACTTGTCGTTGGTCGAAATGAAGAGGGAGGTCAACTCGGCTCTCTTCACCAACCAATGTCGGTGTTGGGGTGTTGAGAGCGTGTCGATATACGTAAGGGTATCCGAGACAACCTGTGCAACAAGAGTGTACTGTCGACTCATTGCTTATATTGATGCAATGCAGCACTGAGCTAGCGTATGCAGTCATCTCAGTGTCGTAATCATTTTACTCGTTCTTCTTGGCCTGGAGCGGCTTGAGGCCTTTCGGGAGCTTCTTTGGGGACCGCATGACGGCAAAGGTGTAGCCAAGGCCGCCACCGAGCGCCAAGACGGCCGCTATTGTCTCGAGGCCGAGCTCCGAGATAGTAAGCGAAAGCGTTTGGAACACCTCCGCCTTCTTGGTCGCTGGCTTGCCCTCCATCGGATGTGGCAGCGGACGCGAGTCCTTGGTCGCATAGTCGGTCAACGCAAACGCCGTCATGAGCTTGGGGTCACGGAGGCCGTCAAACTCGTAGACGCGGCCGTCGCGGATGAGCACGAGCGTCGGGTAGCCCGTGATGGCGAAGCGCATGCCGAGCTTGGCGTTGATGTCGGCGTCGACGCGGGCAACATGCACGTTGCCGTGGTCCTGGAGCGTCAAGGCCGTTTGGAGCATCGCGCCCATCATGTCCTTGCAGTGGCCGCACCAGTGCGCGTGGAACTGGACGAGCCACGCGTCGGCGTTCGGCTCATTCACGCGCGTGACCGCATCAAAGGTGTCGTCGGTGAGGTCGACGAGCGGCGACGTCGGAATGTCCTTGGCCTCCTGCTCGGCGTAGCCGCCGGTCGCAAACGCAGAGAGCGCCTCGAGCGTGCGCGCGCCGTCGTACGCATACATCTTGTTGTCCTTGACGAAGAGAACAGTGGGGTACCCGTTGACTTGGAAGCGCAGCTTGAGCTCGACGTCGTCGGTCGCGTCGACCTTGGCAATGTGCACATCGGCGTTGTCTTGGAGCGACAAAGCGAGTTTTTCCC